TGAGGACAATAGTCCGAATAATGTAAATAGTGTACATAATACCTTATCTCAGAAATATAGACAGATACTGAAAGTAAAACGGCCGAAACTTTTTGATAAATAAACAAAGATGAGGACAATAGTCCGAATAATGTAAATAGTGTACATAATACCTCATCTCAGAAATATAGACAGATACTGAAGAAGGCCGAAGCGTACAACGGCCGAAACTTTTTGATAAATATGGCGACAAAGATGAGGACAATAGTCCGAATAATGTAAATAGTGTACATAATACCTCATCTCAGAAATATAGACAGATACTGAAGAAGGCCGAAGCGTACAACGGCCGAAACTTTTTGATAAATATGGCGACAAAGATGAGGACAATAGTCCGAATAATGTAAATAGTGTACATAATACCTCATCTCAGAAATATAGACAGATACTGAAGAAGGCCGAAGCGTACAACGGCCGAAACTTTTGATAAATATGGCGACAAAGATGAGGACAATAGTCCGAATAATGTAAATAGTGTACATAATACCTCATCTCAGAAATATAGACAGATACTGAAGAAGGCCGAAGCGTACAACGGCCGAAACTTTTTGATAAATATGGCGACAAAGATGAGGACAATAGTCCGAATAATGTAAATAGTGTACATAATACCTCATCTCAGAAATATAGACAGATACTGAAGAAGGCCGAAGCGTACAACGGCCGAAACTTTTTGATAAATATGGCAACAAAGATGAGGACAATAGTCCGAATAATGTAAATAGTGTACATAATACCTCATCTCAGAAATATAGACAGATACTGAAGAAGGCCGAAGCGTACAACGGCCGAAACTTTTTTGATAAATATGGCGACAAAGATGAGGGACAATAGTCCGAATAATGTAAATAGTGTACATAATACCTCATCTCAGAAATATAGACAGATACTGAAGAAGGCCGAAACGTACAACGGCCGAAACTTTTTGATAAATATGGCAACAAAGATGAGGACAATAGTCCGAATAATTTAATACCTCATCTCAGAAATATGACAGATACTGAAGAACGAAGCGTAAAGATGATGGGACAAAGATAGTCCGAATAATGTAAATAGTGTACATAATACCTTATCTCAGAAATATAGACAGATACTGAAGAAGGCCGAAACGTACAACGGCCGAAACTTTTTGATAAATATGGCAACAAAGATGAGGACAATAGTCCGAATAATGTAAATAGTGTACATAATACCTCATCTCAGAAATATAGACAGATACTGAAGAAGGCCGAAGCGTACAACGGCCGAAACTTTTTGATAAATATGGCGACAAAGATGAGGACAATAGTCCGAATAATGTAAATAGTGTACATAATACCTCATCTCAGAAATATAGACAGATACTGAAGAAGGCCGAAGCGTACAACGGCCGAAACTTTTTGATAAATATGGCAACAAAGATGAGGACAATAGTCCGAATAAGTCCGAATAATGTAAATAGTGTACATAATACCTCATCTCAGAAATATAGACAGATACTGAAGAAGGCCGAAGCGAAGAAACTTTTTGATAAATGGGCCAAAGATGAGGACAATAGTCCGAATAATGTAAATAGTGTACATAATACCTCATCTAAATATAGACAGATACTGAAGAAAAGATACAACGGCCGAAACTTTTGATAAAATGGCGACAAAGATAATGACAATAGTCCGAATAATGTAAATAGTGTACATAACCTCATCTCAGAAATATAGACAGATACTGAAGAAGGCCGAAGCGTACAACGGCCGAAACTTTTTTGATAAATATGGCGACAAAGATGAGGACAATAGTCCGAATAATGTAAATAGTGTACATAATACCTCATCTCAGAAATATAGACAGATACTGAAGAAGGCCGAAGCGTACAACGGCCGAAACTTTTTGATAAATATGGCGACAAAGATGAGGACAATAGTCCGAATAATGTAAATAGTGTACATAATACCTCATCTCAGAAATATAGACAGATACTGAAGAAGGCCGAAGCGTACAACGGCCGAAACTTTTGATAAATATGACAAAATGAGGACAATAGTCCGAATAATGTAAATAGTGTACATAATACCTCATCTCGAAATAACAGATACTGAAGAAGGCCGAAGCGTACAACGGCCGAAACTTTTTGATAAATATGGCGACAAAGATGAGGACAATAGTCCGAATAATAAATAGTGTACAGATCATCTCAGAAATATAGACAGATACTGAAGAAGGCCGAAACGTACAACGGCCGAAACAATAGTCCGAATTTTTGATAAATATGGCAACAAAGATGAGGATAATAGTCCGAATAATGTAAATAGTGTACATAATACCTCATCTCAGAAATATAGACAGATACTGAAGAAGGCCGAAGCGTACAACGGCCGAAACTTTTTGATAAATATGGCGACAAAGATGAGGACAATAGTCCGAATAATGTAAATAGTGTACATAATACCTCATCTCAGAAATATAGACAGATACTGAAGAAAGGCCGAAGCGTACAACGGCCGAAACTTTTGATAAATATGGCAACAAAGATGAGGACAATAGTCCGAATAATGTAAATAGTGTACATAATACCTCATCTCAGAAATATAGACAGATACTGAAGAAGGCCGAAGCGTACAACGGCCGAAACATTTTGATAAATATGGCGACAAAGATGAGGACAATAGTCCGAATAATGTAAATAGTGTACATAATACCTCATCTCGGAAATATAGACAGATACTGAAGAAGGCCGAAGCGTACAACGGCCGAAACTTTTTGATAAATATGGCAACAAAGATGAGGACAATAGTCCGAATAATGTAAATAGTGTACATAATACCTCATCTCAGAAATATAGACAGAACTGAAGAAGGCCGAAGCGTACAACGGCCGAAACTTTTTGACAAATATGGCGACAAAGATGAGGACAATAGTCCGAAATAATCGAATAATGTAAATAGTGTACATAACGGCCGAAACTTTTTGACAACCTCATCTCAGAAATATAGACAGTTACTGAAGAAGGCCGAAGCGTACAACGGCCCGAAACTTTTTTGATAAATATGGCAACAAAATGAGGACAATAGTCCGAATAATGTAAATAGTGTACATAATACCTCATCTCAGAAATATAGACAGATACTGAAGAAGGCCGAAGCGTACAGCGGCCGAAACTTTTTGATAAATATGGCGACAAAGATGAGGACAATAGTCCGAATAATGTAAATAGTGTACATAATACCTCATCTCAGAAATATAGACAGATACTAAGTAGACACTATACTATACACTACGTCGAAAAGATAGACGGACGTAGGGTCATAAATAAAGTTTTATTCGCAAAATAATCCCGAATCGGGTTAATTCGTCTTCGTAAAAATCCTAAAATCTGGCGTGTCGTTCAGGAGATTAGGGTTCTGTTCTGTTTGCAATAGAAACTTTTAGTAAATCGATCCCCCGAGAAGTAGCCGACCAGTAAAATCGATTTCTAACCCTGCTACGGTTATGTATCCGATATATTTCATAGTTAGGGATTCCTATGTTCCCATAAGACCCGACTTTATATGAAGAACCCCTCAAGAAGGGTGTTTTTAAGTTTGCGCCAAAAATGTACACAAAAATGTCGATTGTATATGATAGGTACCGCCACGAACCTTCTAAAAAACGAAAAACACATTTTAAATAAATTAAATACCTTTAATTAAAGACAAACTTGCTAATCATTACACCACGTCGAATTGCCCAACGTGATTTACTAAGCGCGGCTTAGATGTAGCACAAGGCGGAAAGAATGAGGCACCCAGTGAGGATCAAAGTCACTACTCAGCCGTAAGTGACCCAACGAGATAAGCTTGCTAACCATTACACCATGTCAAAGTACCCTCCCCTTTCCTTATTATGTGTCCCACAAATTTTACCTTTTTCTTATTCTAAGTAGAAGTTGCCATTTTGTTTCAATTTTCCTTAAAAATTTTTCCGTTGCTCACATGTTCTGTCTATGGCATCCTCAGAATCCTTCTGTAGGACAACATTTTGCTGCTTGGTTCTCCTTTCATCTGGGAGAAAAATTGTCCAGAATTCATTATAAAAATATTTTTTATTATTTTTAAAAATGTTAGAACCGTAAATGTATAATCACGTAGGTTGTTTTATATATATATATATATATATATATATATATATATATATATACTCACGTTTTTTGAGAGAAGTGTATTTTTCTGAAGGCCAGACGGTTTGTGTAAAAATTGTTACATTTTTCATGGCCCTCTTGGCTCAAGCGGTTGATGCCGCTAAAATTATTTGATTTCTTGCGGATTCGTTTTTTGAATTCTTGGAGAAAGGTTTCGTATATATTGGCCAATAAGACGATCTCTTCAAGCCCTTGTGAAAACTTAATGATTAGCAAGTTTGTCTCGCTATATCAATTACGACTGAATAGTGTGTTCGATCCTCACTCGGGATCACCTACTTTCGGCTTTGTGTCACAACTAAGATACGATTATAAAACCAACAAAACGAGGAAAGAGGGCTTGGGGACTTTTATACTCGCAGGATCAGAGCGAAACATCGAGTTACCTAACTACTGAACATGTGTAAATAAATGGTAGAACGGGTATTTGGAAGAACATTAAAAGAACAAATATAGCTTCAAAGGATAGGAAATTGTGAAGAACCATGATCGCCCACATCCTAAAGCGACACACCACATAAAAGTTAAGTTTAGCTTTGTCGTATTTACTGCCTACCCACGTAAAATATGCCATTGAATACATTAAGCTTATAATTATCGATCGCTTAAAATGTTTATTGCAGTCATAAAAGGTAGAATGCAGTTTTAAATGATTAATTATCAACTTGTTAACCGCGTTTTCGGTCTTTCTGTCGGCGATGAACAGTTGGATGTCCGAGACGTTTTCTGATATCGAATTAGCGCGTGATACTAACCTGGATATTTTTTTTAAATAAAATCTGCTAATATCTTCTAATTTCTTCCTTCCATGTTATGTAGATTTTCTGTTTCTTACTTTTATTTACCTATTCCTTTTCTGTTTTTCATCTTCTTTTTTTCTTTCTTTCTGCTATACCTGTTAATTTCTTCCTTCTTTTTTGCTATTTTCTATCCGTATTCATTTATTTTCACCGTTTCGCCATGGTACCAGCTGATGCAACGTTTACAAATGACTAAGTAAGACTTATTCTTTAAAGGAAATCAAAAAATTTGAATATAGCATACTGTTTACATTGTTTTTCTCAATTTTGTCCCTTACTTTTGGACGTTCCAAATTTGAAAATAAATAAATAATTGTTATAATTCTTTTTCTATCCTTTGCAAATGATTCAAATTTTAGTATGTTATTATGGATGATAACGACTACCAGTTGTCAAAATTTCAGCTTTTCACAGTTGTTATTTCTAACAAATATTAGGTTTTAAAATGTTGTCCCTTAGTTTTGGACGCTACTGTATATATTTATTTATTTATAGCTGCAATATTGTTTAGTTTAATTCCTTTTTTCATCATTTTTCTCTTTTCATTTCTTATTTCTTTATCTTTTCGTGACTTTCTTCTTTCTTTCGCCATTCCTTTCTTTATTAACTTCTTTCTTCATTTCCTCATTTCTTTTTTCTTTTCTTCCTTCCTTTGTTCCTTCTTTTTTGTTTGTTTGTTTCTTTCTTTCTTTCTTTACTTAATTATTTCTTTTTTTTCTTTCTGATATATCGATAAATTTAATTCATCTTTTTCAGAATTTTCCTCTCTTCCTTTTTTGTTCATTTTCTCTTTCCAGCTTTCTTTCTTTCAGTTTTTTTTCTGTCTTTCTTTCCTCCAGTTTTTCTGTTTTTCTTTGTTTCTTTGTTTCTTTGTTTCTTTCTTCCTTACAATTTGTCTTTCGTTCTGTCTTTCTTTCTTGATTTATTTATTTCTTCACTTCTTTTTCTTTCTTCCTTTTCTTCCTTCCTTCCTTCATTCCTTTCTTTCTTTCTTTCAATTTTCTGTTTTTCTTTCTTTCTCTCTTGCAGTTTTTCTCGCTTTCTTCCAGTTTTTCTTTCTTTCTTCCTTATTTATTTATTTATTTATTCACTTCTTTTTTCATTTCTTTCTTTCTTTTATTTCTTCCTTCCTTCTGCCCATCACTTTCTTACTTCTTTTCTTCCTTTCTTTATTTCTTCACTTCCTTCTTCATTTCTTTCTTCTTTCCATTTTTCTTTCTTTCCTTCTTTTTTCACTTTTTCTTTTTTCTTCCAGTTTTTCTTCCCCCCCCAGTTTTTCCCTCTTTCTTTCTTTCTTTCTTTTTCTTCATTTCTTTCTTTCTGTATTTATTTCTGCCTTCATTTCTTTCTTCATTTCATCCTCTTCTTTTTTCATTTATTTATTTCCTAAAGGTAGCATGTGTCTAATTGATTGCTATTTCTCCTCTATCCTCTATTACTATAAGGACCGCTATTCTCTACTTTATTCAATATACTAATTCTCTATACTACTTTACTATACGGATTACTATTCGAGCGAATATTATCGAGAAAGTACTATTAGTACGAGTGCTATTCTAAGGCATCTGACACCAATATTGTTCAAGGACGTTACTATAGTTGTATCTGCTATTACAAAGTCTCTACTACAATGAACATCACAAAAGTGGCAACGAGTGTTCGTTGACATCACAAAAGATAGATAGATAGATAGATAGATAGATAGATAGATAGATAGATATACAAACAGGTAAGAACTGAATGAGATAGATAGATAGATAGATAGATAGATAGATAGATAGATAGATAGATAGATAGATAGATATTTTGTGTTTGGTAATTTTAGTACTCATCACGTTAAGTGGCTTAAACATTCTAATGTTACTGACGTTGCCGATATTCAGAATTTCAATTTTTCCATTGCTCACTCTTTCTGTGAAATAGTGGATTTACCTTCTCGTTTCCCTAATAAGTCTGTTCAACATATTTCCTTACTTGATTTGTACCTTATCTACTCTCCTACCGCTAGTAGAGCATCACAACTTTGTCCTCTTAGCAATTCGGATCTCACTGCAGTATCTGTTGATATTTCTTTTGAGTCCTCTATAAGAAAGGAACCTCCTATTCACAAGACTTCTTTCTGTTACCAGCTGAATGATTGGGATTCATTTCGTGATTTTATTGGAGACGCCCCTTGGATTGATATTCTTAACCTTCCTATCAAGAATTGTGTCACAGAGGTTTCTTCTTGGGTTAAAGCCAGCGTTGATGCTTTTGTGCCTTCCTGCAAATAAAAGGTGGAACAACAATCTTCTTGGTTCACACCAGTTTATTCAGCTGCTATAGGCCACAAGAATCCGGGTGTACTAGCATGATAATTCCGATCAAAACAGACACCTATATGTTACTGTTCGAAATATTTGTAAATATGTCCTCAAAGCGGCTAAGTCTTTCTTTGCCGATAGTATGAGGCATCGTATAGCCTCTAACAACTTTAGTTTGCGCGACTATTTGGCAGCTCTATGTTAAATAAGAGTAAGTCTTCTACCCCTTCTCTCTTCACTCAATTTGATTTTCTTCTGATAAAGCACAATGTAATGCTCGTAAATTCTCTTCATTCATCTTTGTAAGTAACTTTGCCTGACTTTCCACTTAGGACTAAGTCTCTATTGAGTGATATGCATATAACTCTGCTGTCATTTCTCAATTGGATCCTCGCAAAGCCTGTGGATTTTATGGTAACCCTTCAATACTCCTTAAGATATGTGTTTCTGAGCTGGTTCCTGTTCTCTCTAAACTCTACAATAAATGCCTTGATACTTCTTGTTTCCCTGCTTGTTGGAAATAATCTTCTGCAATTCCAGTCTTTAAGAACTCGGGCAAACCGCCTAATCCTTCAAACCATCGGCCTGTTAGCATTCTACACCTTTCGCTTCTCTAGGCCAACTGCTCATGTGTTAAAGTTTATTGCTGAAAGTGTCTATCGAGCTTTAGATAACAATATTGAAGTTTGGGCTGTTGCTTTGGATATCAGTCTTCTTCACAAGTTGAAAGGCTATGTTATTTCTGGGCGCGTTTTTTAAATGATTCAGTCTTTCTTAACAAACTGAGAAATGATGCTCATCTGGAATGGCCACTCTTCTAGATCTTTTTACATAAATGCAGGTATTCCCCAGGACTCCATCCTTGAGCCTATGTTGTTTCTACTTTTCATAAATTTTATTCTTGATGTCATCAGTTCTCAGCTCGGTATCTATGCTGATGACACAACTATTTACTCCTGTCTCAATAATAAGTCTGATTGGTTCAATAAAGTCAAATTGGCATTTGATCTCAAAAATTGTTATGGTAATTTACCCACGCACGCATGGACTCTCCCAGCTATAAATAGAAGCAGGTACTGCCTTTTGGAGAGGGAAATTACTAGAAGTCAGCTCTGACAGTCGGACCGAACATTCTTGCTGTAACACTCTCGTTTGTATATGTTTGTATTACTGTTTCTGTTAATATATTTGTTTAACTCAATTCCTCTGTTTGTGTCTTTATTTCTAGCCCTAACAAGGCCACAAAAAAATGATCAATAATCTGTTGTTAAATGGGTCAAGGAATAGCTTGTTAATTTTAATGCTTCAGAGACGAAACTGACTTCTTTTAATAATCTAGGAAAACGGTTTTTACCTTCCATCAGCATGAGTGATGCTAACCTCCAATAGGTTAGCATCAGCCATTGCGCCTTCTCAGACTAACGTTTTCAGCTGGCAGATCAAAAAGTTGGTTCTCTGTGTCAAGAAAGACAATTCTTTCCGCCAGAACATATTTATATCTACATTTCGTCATTTTCCTACTGCCGTAATGTAGTTTCCCTGTGCTTTTTCTATAACTACTTTCATGGTAATCTTTCGGAGGAACTTTTCCCTATGATATCCAGACTTTATGAATTTAAGCACAGTACTAGGTTTGTAACAAGATCTCCTCATTTTACAGTTGAAATGGGGAGTTGTAACCGTAAGTTCTATGCTAACAGTTCCTTTTCACATACTTCTCACTTGTGAAACTCACTTTCGGCTTATTGTTCTCTGTCAACTTTGATCTTCAAAAATTGAAATACAATGTCAAACGTTATTTACTGTCTTCTTGATTTTTGTTCTTTTATTATCCTCTCTCCTTAATAATAGCTTTTTTTTTCTTTATTTCCTTGCTTGCGGTATATAAAAAGACTGAAATCCATTGATTCTTTCGAAATGTATCGAGAAAATTGTTCGAAACCAGTTGTTCAAAAAACAATTATTCGAAAAACATTTATTCGAATTGTAAATTGTTAGAATGAAAATTAATCGAGAGGACAATTATACTAAACGATAATTATTTGAATTACCTATGTTTGAAATACGTATAGGGGCCTTCCTTTGAGACAGTCAATGCTGATTTACTAGAACTAATAATGCACCTGAAGGATAGCATAGGGTCTCTTTGCGGCAAGTTTCATCCCATCATCCCACAATATGGAAATTCTTAGACGCTCTTAAAAGAGAACAGGACTTGCAAGAAATTCGTATTGCAAAAGTAAGAGCAGGTTGCCAAAATATGAAGAGCTCCAAGAAATACCGCGACGTAAATGGAAAACTTACAAAAATTAATGGCATCCTTTAACGAGTACTCTTCAGTAGTTGACTATTTACGTGCAGTATTATATAACTTAAGGTTAAAAGGATTTTTTCTTACTAAATTTGTTTTATTAACGATATTTTTATTTCGAATAATTATCATTTGTGCATTTCCTCTTTTAATTTTTACTTTTTTATTCCAATAAAAAATTTTTCATTTCAAATAACTATCATTTAGTATAATTGTCCTTTCGATTAATTTTCATTCAAACAATTCGTATAATGTTTTTCGAACAATGTTCACATAATCCTTTTATATATATATATATATATATATATATATATATATATATATATATATATTTATTTGGTTGGATAGATGTGAGTTTGTGACCCTGGGTTTCACGCTTTAGCGATCGTCAGAC